TTTGAGATGCAAGAAGAACAGTTCATGGAATAAACAACATGCTATTAATCTTAAATGTATCTTAGACAAAATCAATGAGATGTATCAAATCATTAGAGACTTTAAACAAACAAAAACGAAGTCTATTCAACAAAATCTTAATACTCGTCCATCTCTTACCACTACTTTCACTCCTAAATCAATCAATAACTCATTACAAATCATCCCTAATGAAAGTTCATCCAAAAAGAGAATTTCTAGTCCTATTATCAATAAATCCTCTCATACTACTAATGTTAAAAATATTCAAAACACACAAAGAACAAATCCAGTTCAATCATTGGTTGATCTTCAAGATAATTTACTTAAAAGAACTAAAGAAATATCAAAAACACCAACAAAAAGACTTGAAATAGAAGATATTCCTAATCAAAAGAAATCTAGATTAAATTATATTATATCAACTAATGTCAATGATTTACTTAAATTAGAAGAGGTGTTGATGAGTATTGATAGTGAAGAAGTGTTTGATCAAATTACTGAAGAAAATATTAAAAAAATGATTCCATGCATTGTTAATATTTTCATTGTTGGAGATAATCTTCAGAAAGAGTTTGTTGCTTTAGAATTTGTTTGGGAAATCACAAGAAAACATGAACGAATATTTGAAGGAACTGAAGGAGTTGTTTTAGCAAATAAATTACTACATTCATTACAACTCTTTTATTCAACACCTAATGTTCAAACAGATGATTGTCCATTGAATTCTGATGAGATGAAATGGTTATTTGAGTTTTTCATGAATTATTCTAATTGAATTTGTTATGTACATTCATTTATTTTCTATCTATATTTCTCATTGATTTAACTATTGTATTGAATAAACAACATTTTAGTGTTTTTTCATTCAAAAACAATGAAAAACAAATATTCTAATGAATAAATGAGTTGAAATCATTTGTAACTAGTTTGTTTCATTGTTGATAATGTGTATGTAAGAATGAACAATATTAAACAGAATTTATTTGAGTTGTATTTCTTTATAAAGAGAACAAATAATACTTGATTATTTATATGAATTAATTCAATTGAATTATAAAGATAAAGAATGATTTAGTGTAAGAAAATAAGTTATTTTCAGAACAGAATACTAGAATGATTCAATGTGATGATAAAGAGAATATGAATGTTCAAAATTAAAGTATAAAGAATTCTTTTAATGTTTTTACTTTCATTAAACAAAACATGAATGTTTATGATTTTTGAATACAACAAATGATGAAAACAAGAGAAAAGACATCAACTAATATCACAAATATACATAATTATGATATAACTTAATATAATTGTGATAATTCAAATTGGTATTTGTTTTAGTATATACATCATTT